AGCCATTATATTTCAAAACTTAAGACTATAGAAAGTAAAAAAAAATGAAAGATTTTTTTCGGGGGCGGCTGGAAATGACGTCAGCATCGTCGCTGGTGATGACGTCATGATGATGTCATCCTTTTTCGACCATGAAGACCACTGCTAGACTCAAAATTCCATGGGCTTTCTGCTGGTATGATTTGTTTTTGATTTTGAGCGCACCTTGTAGGTGTTTTTATTTTTTGAATATTTTCGGCCCAAATTTTTGAATTTCTTCGATTTGCTAAAACAAGGGCTTTTTACTGCAATTTTTTGTTCAAATCTTCTTTAAGAGGTACGACTAAGCTTCCATGGTCCCCTCTTGAGAGACTTGAAGCCTTTGAGGAATTTTTTGGCTTGATCTTGGCCATTTGAGGAATTCGGTGTTCCTATCGCAGCTTCTTTCTGGTGTTGGTTCCCAACGTTGGTGTTGAGGGTGGTCTTCTTGTTCTGAGATGCTATTGCTATGCTTGTGGGTTGCTTTGATATTCAACTGATTTGTGGGTAATCTCCTTGTGGCTTCGGCAGTCTGGTTTTGTGGCAGTCGGCAATCGTTAGTCTTCTTCTTGTTCACTGTTCCTGCTTTGGTGTTGAATCTATTGATTGTTATTTGGAGTAATTCTTTAATTGGTGGCTGCTGGGTTTTGACTATGGGTTTTGATTGCTTTGATTTTGACTGTGATATCTATTGATAATTGTTACTACAATGACAAGTGAAAATTCTGATTCACTTCAAGTCATTAGTGTGAGATTAATAGGTGAAAATTATGTTTATTGGGATTATGTTATGAAAAATTTCTTATTGGGAAAAGACATGTGGAATTATGTTAGTGGTGTTGCACAGGCTCTAACTGATACCAAGGCCGAAAATTATGTTGATTTGAAGAGTACTTGAGATATTAACAATGCAAAAATTATCACCTGGATTAATAACTCAGTTAATCAGACCATTGGGGTTCATCTATCAAAGTTTAGCACAGCTAAGGAAATTTGAAATTATTTGGCCACATTTTTTGTCCAGTCTAATTTTGCAAAGAGGTATCAACTAGAACATGAGATTCGAGATGCGCGTCAAGGAGACAAAACTATACAAGAATTCTACTCAGTTATGACCGGCTTTTGGGATAAGCTAACACTTACTGAACCCACTGAATTGAGCACTAATCTGACATATCGCACCTTCAGAGAGGAACAAAGACTGGTACAATTCTTGATGGCCCTTAGAGATGATTTCTAGAGACTTCGTGGTTCCATTCTTCATCGTCACCCACTCCCCACAGTGAATGCAGTTGTTAATGAGCTCCTAGCTGAAGAGGTTCGTCTTAAAACCCTTTCTGGAAAGGGTTTTTTTCCACTGCCAAATCAAACTGAATTGGCTGTTCCATCCAAAGTGGCCTCTACTTTCCAAAACAAATATCCAAATCGAGTTGTTTCTGATGAGTGTAGCTTCTGTTGTGAAAAGGGTCATTGGAAGGCTCAATGTCCAAAGTTGATGAATAAGAATGCACGAAGGTCTCAAAATTAGTCATTTAAGTCCAGAGATCGTCATACAACAGCCGTAGCACCACCAGTAGATGAGTCAGCCTCATCAGCTACAGAAATTTCTCTCTCTTCATCAGTCTGGTGCTCTCACAGTTTCCCCCACTATAGGTTCGTTCAGCTCAGGTTCTTCACGTATACCTCGAACTGCTTGGATTTTTAACTCAGATACCACACATCATATGACCAGTGACTCTTCTTTGTTTGCATTTATTGTTTCTCCTCCCTCTTTATCTGTCCTTGCTGCCAATGGTTCTCAATTGTCATTAGCTGGTGTTGGGACAATTATTTCTTCTAACCTTACCCTTTTAGATGTCTATTATATTCTTCAACTTACTTTGAATTTACTTTCAGTAAGTCAACTATTTGATTCTAGATTTTTGGTTCATTTCTCTTCCTCTGGTTGTGTTGTGCAAGATCCACGGTCCAAGAAGATGATTGGGATAGGCTGTAGAAAGGGCGGGTTATATGTGTTGGAGGAACTTCATGTCCCCGAAGCTGATGCTGCTGCTTCTACCATAGCACGTTTTCAATTTCTTCTTGGCAAACTCTAAATGTTTTCTACTACATCACGAGTAAAAGAGGGGGTGTTAGAATATTAATACTAAGGATAGTTTAGGCATTTTCTTTATGTTGTATTGCCCTACTATATAAGACTTACTTTGTTTATTTCTAGGTTAATGTTGTGTATTACAGATTGGTTTTCTATGAATAATACATTCTCTTTTTCTCTTCTTCATTCATATTGATCAATTCTATCAAGTACATGTGATGAATTAGGGAACAAAACAATCGTAAATTAGCAATATCCACATTCCAAACCACACTGACTGCAACAAGTTTAGACAACTATAATGGACAAGCAAAATATATTAAAAGAATGGAATGAAGCAAAGGCAACTTACCTGCTGCCCTTTGAGCAAGATAATATGAATCATACATTCGGTAAACCCAATTGGGCCAGAAAGATCTTGGAATCTCCCGCAGCCGACTTATTGAATCCTTTTTCCATCCTACCCCTTTGCAAGATTTGGCGTTTGGAATAATACTTTTCTCAATTACTGGGCCAGTATTCTCTCTCCTTTCGTCATTCTCTGGATGCAATGGACCCATGTGATCATTTAAATGAGATCTACACAACTGGAGTCCTGACTCGCGCACACACTTCTCTTCGTCACTGCTTGTTGACTCGTCATTCATATCAGAACCAGAACAAGAAACAAGTGCAGATTGATGCAACCTCCTTTCTGCTAGCGAAAGTTCACTCTCAAAACTTCCCTCTGACATTGCATCTGAATCATCATCTTCGTCTCCATAGCCATGTCGTTTGGATTGCAAAGCATTTAAAGGTGGTGTTTGCAAGAGGCTCTTAGCCCGCAAATTCCTTAACGGTTCTAGTCGTCCAACTGCATCACGTGGAGTCCTTAATGGCAAATCTTCTTGGATGATTTGGATCTCACCACATGGCTAGAAAAAAGATAAGCGTCCACCAAATAAGCATTTCAGTACACAGATAACAAGAGCAGATAATAAAGAATACACGGTACAAAAAATTTCATCTTCTCCGCAAGAATTATACTTACTGATCCCTCAACATCAATCCAGCGACGTCTCAGATGAAAACGTTGTTGGCCTCGAGTAACTACATTCAATGAACCATCCTCTAACCTACGGTATTGCCGAATCTGAGACCGAACATGGAGCAAGACAGTTAGCTAGAACTGACGAACAAAATTAAGATCTGAATACCGCAACATGAACTAATAGAAGATGTAAATGACAAAACTGCTAAACATAGATAGTGAGGTAAGAAATCTTCCACAGCCACAAGTGGCGGGTACCGGCAAGCAGTACAAACTTATGGCTATAGAAAACAAATTTGGACAATAAGCCAATCCTAGAGGTATCTTTTAATCCCCCGATAGAAAACGCAGGTACTACATATAATTCAAAACTGTTCATTGTGAGAGGCACCAATTCTTCCATTCATACTTCCGGTCATAAGATTTATCGGGAAGTTGATTTATCCACATCAACATGCTTCTACATTCCAAATTTACAGCAACAATCCGCCATAAGGAATACAAGAAACGGGGGTACACCAACCTCCCTATGTTTTAGACAAATTCTGACAAAAGTAACCCGTTTGATTCATATCATGTCAAGTTATACACTAAGAGAGCATAACATTTGAGATCGGAACCTTCTCAGTATAATTTACTTGTTTATATAGCAAGGACATTTTTTCTATTAGAAGATCTACTTTCAAACCAAATCCAGATTGGAGAAATAAACCCAGAGACTGAAAAAAACACTATACAATTTCAAAGTAACACGCCAAAAGTGTATGTTCCATAAAACTAACCATCTCCTCTAGCAAACATACAATTATATTTGCAACATGAAGATAGGTTCTGCTTGTAGCAGATTAAATTCATTTTTGAAAAGGAAATCTGAGTTTGCATCGTGATTAACACTTAAATAATCAATATCCCATAAATAAGGAAATTTCCAATATAAAATTGATAAACCTTACATGTAACAAGTGATATTTAGTGGTGCATAATTTTATTACAAGATAAATATGTAGTAAAAAATGAACTTACAGATGGGTAAGTCATCCATCCAAAAATGCAGTCTATCAAGAGCATTACAAAAAAAAAAAAAAGATACAAAAGACATCAAGGTAGTAGATTTTGATGACAAATTACACACACAAGCACGTAAATAGCACTTGAATTATGCTAGATAGATCAATAGATATAAAATCTGAAGGTGAGTTCTGTACCATACCTCTGCTGTTGTCCCAGTCGTTGCAAACCTAATCCTCCCATTATCAGGATCCCTGTAAACATGAACCTGAAAGAAATCCCTAGGTCATGCCAACTTTCAGGGCAAAGGTGAGTCAAACAAATCCCAATAGGATAGCAGGTAAAAGCTGTCATAAAGTATTCACATACCACACCAATAGTATAAGGAGCATCAACTTGTCTCAGTGCTCTTTCCACAGCAGCTATAAAATTTGGTTGAATTACTCTTAGGGGAAGGGTTGCCTCTGGGAATAGAACAACTCCTGGAAATAGACAAAGACAGATAAATAATAAAATTATACATAAACATTTATGTATATATATAAGGGAGGTATGTTCACTCCTGAGGTGAAGATGGACAGACAAACAGATGTGACACTTAACTGTTCCTCAGCTATAAACTCTATCATTAGACTGCTTCAACACCACATAGATCACTGATAGTTAAGACTGAGTGCCTCCCTCAGTTTCCAACCAGGATGTCTTTTTGTAAAAGTTCAAAACTTACCTTGGTAACTACAATAACAAATTATTTTACGGTATTATAAAAAAAGTCGGGAATTGATTATAAACTGCCAGTTCATCCTTTTCTCTTCATGGACAATTCAGTTGTTTGAATAGAGTTGTTATCTTACTCAATTTTTTGAAAACATAGTAAACATAGTTATAGGAACAACCTAGCTATATAATATTAACCTGAGGCTCTTTAGTTTATTTTTAAAATCAATAGGGCCAAGAATTAGTATATGAATCATGTTTCTCTATTGTGCACCTATGGCATGTACAACATACAAAAGGAGGAATAAATTACCAAATCAAAGAATTGAGTCTTGCGCAAACCCTCCTAAAGTCTAGATCTCATAACCACTTAAAGAAGTCAAATCCAAAACCAATTGGCTATAAATAGAAAAGTTTACAAGGTTTGTATAACAATTTTGAGATGTGCTATTTATCAATATGGGTCAAGCTCTAAAAACAATGGTGGGCCTTAATTTTTTTCAATACCCTCAACTACAGTCATACTTCACCTTCCAATGCAATGAAAAACACAACAAAGCATTCACATTCCATGCAATGTCTAAAAGCAAACTAAATAAGTACCTTCGAGGTAAAACAGTGGAAGGGACAATACAGCACCACCCTCCAAAAAAGCCAACCTATTATGAGTGTCCTCAACCTCTGGTACATAACAAATGAACCATTAAGCCCCTAATCGCTTAGATTAACATGAAATTAGTAATAAGACAATGGAAACCACATGCATACCGCCAAGATATGTATGTAAAGCAGCCAAACAAGTATCAAATGTCAAGTCACCAGATGCTGAAGCCCCTCCATAACCACGACCACTGTGATCCATAACCAAATAGCACCAAAGAATAAGCAGTTATAAACACACAAAACGAAAATCAATACTGCTTTGATTCAACTAAGAATTAAAAAAAAAACCCACAATATAAGCTTAAAACAATGCAATGACAACCAGAAGACTGAAAAAAAAAAAACTCTAGCTCTTGAGATGTTAAAAGCATACCAGACAACACTTAATATTTATTTCCTTTCTTTCCTCCTACAACTCGGAAAAAAAAATGAAATAAGGCTTCTTTCAACTAAAAACTTTCAACAGCCGCTTTTCCACTCTATATGAAACTATAACGTTAAACACACAGATGCACGAATATATCCGTCTGTATAAACCTAGAATTAGAGTGAAATTTTTGAAAATCAAAGTTCGATTAAAAAAAACGAAAACGCAGAATTAGTATTTATTCATTCCGAATAAGGTTCATAAAACCCTAAATCCCAAATAAAAAACAAATAATGACCGAAAATAAACACAATAGAATTGTAAATTAACAATAAAAATTATATATCCCAAAGATTGTTTGTTAATTACTTGGTTTCATCGTCGTCGGATGATTCTTCGTCGACTTCTTCGACCTGCAATTCCTCCGATTCAAGCTCTCGTATCTGTTGGATTTGGTACCTCTCGCTCTCAGGAATGCTATCGTCCTCCATTTCCTTCTCACTCCACTACTTTGGTTTCTCAGTAAAACTCCGTCTCTCTCTCACTCTCTCTATTTGTGTGCGTGTGTTGAAATATGTGTGTGTATGTGTGCGTTGAAGTATGAGAGGAACGCGCCAAAAATTAGGAATCTCCAGAAATGGGCTTGGAGATCGCGGCGAGGTTGCAGAAAGCTTTGTCCGCAGATGAGTGTAGCCTAACAGCCGACTGGGATTTGGGGCCCGCGGTGGTAAATTTATGATTACTGGCATTGACCGCTTGATCTTGACACGTCACCGTGAGTGGGGAAATGGGGCTATCAATTCCGTGGGACCTACTGTGAGAGACGCCGGCTTTGCCTTTTTTTTTTTTTTCTCTGTATTAAAAAAAAAAGGGCAGTAATAGAGAATATTGGGTGTCAAACGTGTCGAATTAAACAGTTATGTGTTGGGTTAAACGAGTGGTGGGTGAAAAATATATAAATTTATACACGATCTATTTAATAAACGGATGAAAAATCTCAACACAAACCCGAACTGTTTAATAAATAAGTAACAAGACACAACTCGTTTAATCCGTTTAGTTTTAATTTATTATTATTATATTTTTACTACTACTAAATTTTAAAAAAAATGTGGCTATCGCTATATATATATACTAGTTATAACCCGTGCCTGAAGACACGATAAAATATAAAATTCAAGCGTCCAAAAAATCGTTCCCACTATATTAAATTTTTTTAAAATATATTAACTATAAATTAATTAAATATATGATAGAAATAAGTTGTGTGATATTTTTAAGGAGGAAATATATAAATGATTAAATATGTGATAAAAATTAGTGATGTGATTTGACGTTTGAGTCTGACAAAGAGATGATGGGTGAGGTAAGTGATTGGTGATGCTTTTAAGAGAGAAAATATGACTGGGATAAAATTCAAACACACTCATGTTTTATTATATAGATATATTTGGTTGTCAATAAAAAAATTCTTTTAAATTAATTATTATATTAATTTTATCTAAACAGGTAAACGAGTGATAAACGGGTTAACACTCACACGAACTATTTATTAAACGTGTATGATATGTTAACTCGTTTACCATCCAAACACATTAAGGTCTTACCCAAATTCGCTTAATTCATTTCAATTTGTATCGATTAATCATGTTGTGTCGGACTTTGGCATACACACGATCAAAGACACCAGATTGGACACCCAAAGAAAAAGCTTGGGCAAGCTTTTTTATTAATTGTGGGGTAAATTTCGACATAACCCCCTTATAAATTGCTATAATTTTAAGAACATTCTTAGTTCTCTCTTACTATTTACTATGGTCAACGGATTGAATTTAAATTTAATTTAATTTTAATTCAATTTAATTATCTAACAAATTTTATTTTCATAATTCATATTCTAATTCATTAATGACCCTAAATCCAATTCGAAATTAAAATATTTTATTTAATAAATTTTAACTAAATTTTTTTAAATAATTATTTAATATTTTATATAAAAACTAGTCATTGTTCATACCTAAAGTCACTATATATAAAAAAAAAAACTTAAATAATTGTCCAAATTCAAAAGAAATAGCCTAAAAATATTCATACAAATTCTACTTTTAAAATGATTCGAAATATATCGTCCGTCATATCCTTCATATTAATGAAACAATCATAAAAATATATAAAAACTCCCTAAAATAATACCATACAGATAAATATCCCTGGAAAAAAAACAAATACTAATATAACCCATTCAAATTTACAATTTTTAAGCAATAAATTAAATAAATAAAATATTACTCATTTATAAGACTCACGAATTTATCACCTCTGCTACCACTCTATACAATAACACAAAATAATTATAAATTCAACAACCATATTTCCAAATCACTCTATCCCCATGTAATAAATACATCAAGAAAAAAAAATGCTAACAAAACACAATTACACGATCTTTAAGCGATAAATAAAAACAACCAAATTTAGCTCATTTATAAAACTTGTGAATTTATCACCACTATCACCATTCAACCTTAAATGACGTAATATAATTATAAACTTAATCATAAAATATCTAATCCTCCAAATATAAATATACACCGAAACACACTCGCACACATTTTTTTTTTGTTACCAACAAACTCTTCTAACTAATAACTATTTTTATTAGAAATAAAATAATTCAAGTTTTTAAAGTAAAATAATAATATATAAATGTTTAATTAAAAAACATGATAAGAGAGTATAAGATAGATACATAAATAGAAAGAGAGTTATATGAGATGAGAGTCTTAAAATTATAAAAAGAATTAAAGTCCAATTAGAATTATCGGATCAAAATGATTTGAGCAGCGAAAAGCTCAACATAAATAATCTAGCTACTTTATTGTATAGACTATTCAATTGCCCGTGCCTAAAGGCACTATGCAAAAAAAAAATTGTAATCAGTTGCCTAGATTTAAAAAGAATGGCAAAAAAACATTCATACCAATTTTTCTTTTAAAATGACTTAAAATATACTATCGATCGTATCCTCTATATTAATGGAACTATCATAAAAATGTATAAAAAAATTACCAAAATAACACCACATATACAAATACCTCAAAACAACATCACATGTAATTTATCACCACTATCACCATTCAACTCAATAATACAACATAAATATAAACTCAATTACTAAAATTTCAACTCGCTAAAAAAATAACACATTACTCGATAAAAAATATGTGAGTTGAAAGAAAAATGAATAAAAACACATGACTTTCATTTTTCTCTCTTTCAAAGAGAAAAATTCAGTCTAATAACACAACATTTAGGAATCCAAAGGCGACAACCTCTCAAAATTTATCAGCTTGTCACAAATAAATAAATGAAAATAATACTATGAAGCATGAATTTGTTCCAAAAAATGAGTAGAAATACAAAGCGCATGTCATGCTCAAGAGAAAATTTCTACTATGAAGCAACAGATAAAAGGAAACTCCTGTAAAGTAATTTTTGCAAGAACACCACGAAGGCAGTAACCACCAAAATAAACACCATCAACTCAGAGTTTCACCCTAAACTAAAATACCAACATCACAAAAATAATGAAGACATTTAAATTTAATCCTCTAAGCATAATTGATATCAAATACACCATTTAATTTTAACGATAGCAAACTTTGAAATAAGAGTTACACGCATGATGTAATTTCAATTGAAATATAATTAAATTAATTTAATACAACTTAAGAAATTGATCCCAAATACTATTTGAATAAAAATCAACATTTAATAAAACTTGAAACATAGTTTGACTAAAAAAAATTAAGGATTTAATTTCGATAGAAACAAACTTAGTTATGAGATAGAAAAAACACCAAAAAACTATGGATGAATATCATGATAGCGCAAATGGTTAATTAAAGACAACCTGAAAAATCAAACAAAATTTGAATGCAATAGACAAATAATAGTAGATAGCATGGCTTAGAGAAATAGTAATAAACACCATGAATTAGACAAATGGAATACGCAAGACACTGTGAGTTATAGAAATAGTAGTATTACGAATGCCCAAATTCAATCCAGTCAACATCTTCATCAAAATTTCAAGCTTTTCCCCTCCCACGCCATTTGAGCCATCTACAATCAATTTTGTATGCATTTCATTGGTTTTATTGCTTTGGGGTAACAAATCCATCAGGATATTTTGTAATAAAATGCATTTCAGACAAACTTGATGTCACTGTACATTCCTTGCTCAAACTAACTTGAAAGAGCCCAAAGCTGGTTAAAGTAACCAAGTTTAGATGCTTCCATTCCCTTATTTCTAGTACAGACCATCCAATGCAGTTTTGGGATTGTTAAAATTCCCATTTTTTTTTGACACGGAAGTTTGACATCCTTTTATTGAGTTTAAAATAGAAACAGTCCGCATGGTGTATTTCAACATGCACCCGTAGCAATCACTTCTAACCAAATATAATAGAAGAGCATTTTTTAACCATAGCACAAAGTTTATGTTGTTTTCATTTTGGATCAGTGAGTCCCTCATTTCTTCCCACTTTTCTTCAATCCACAACCTCCAAATGATCCCTTTTGCTGAGCCTTGGCTCTAAGCTCCTTAAGTGTTTTTTCCTCATCCTTTTTCTTCTGAAGGTTAGCCAAATCAGCCTCGTCGTACTCCTTCTTTCCAGCCTTGGGCTGCTTCAAAGGCTTTGCTTTTCCACCTTGCTTGGAAGACATGATTGATCCCTAGGGTTAGGGCCTGGTCTGATTGCAAAAAGAGAACCTTGACCCGAAAACAAATTCAATGTTCATTAAAACTCCCATGTCAGTGGCAACAACTCCAACTATTGAACCGACTCCTTTGAAATGAACATAAAAAACAAAACCCAAAAAAAAAAAAAAAATTCTTTAATTGTAAAAAATTGAAGGGCATCGATAATCACGGGACAGAAATCAGATTTTACCTTAAACTGCTTAGGATTTCATAATTGCAACTGTCTCTTCTTCTGTCATGGCTCAGATCATGCCTCTGGAATTGATGATTCTTCTTTTGGGGCTTCTTGCCATGTTTGAATTGAATCCTTATGGAGGGAGGCTGGTTGAACCTTGGATCTCGTCCACATGTACTATTACATCAAGGAGCGTTAGAGAGAGTTTACAAAAAGCAAGAGGGAACATAAAGATTGACTGTGTGTATAGATAATTCTCTGTGTGTGTCGTGAGAGAGAGAGAGAGGGGGGGGCTTACGTGGGTGAGTGGTCGTCACCGGTGGTGAGGTGAGTCAGACTGTCGTAGAAGAAAACGAGAGAGACTGTCGTTGTGTGTATATATGGGTTTTTGGCGAAAATGTCTGCTGCATGGGAGAGAGAAAGAAAGAGGGGAGGAGATAGATTGACTTTTTGGGGGTTTTGTGTAGTGGGTTTTAGTATTTGGGTGGGATTAGATTAGATGAATTTTGATGATATTTAAACCGTATATTTAAATTTTAGTTGTTCTTCTATGTTTTTAAATGAAGAGTACTGATTTTAATTTTGGAAATTCGAAATTGTCTCTATCTTGTTAGTGTATATATATATATATATATATAAAACTGTCTAAGTCAAACTCTCTAATAGTTTAAATAGAGATGATAAGAAATAAAAAGAATGTAGTAGAATCCTAGTCAATCTATTCAATATTTTGAATGGGGATGAGGAGAGATAAAAAGAATGTAGTAGAGTTTTGTTAGAATGTAGATTAATTAAGAACGTCGGATCAATAATATTTAATCTATCTGAACCGTCTTTTATGTTAAGATTACGTTGTCCGTTAGATGCATTTATGTTTTGTCTCAAAGCGATCTGAACCTCTTTTTGTCTTTTGGATTCAAACTTCGTTCTACTTTATTATATATACAGATATATACATATTCGGAATCAGATATATGTATATTTAAATTCAAATCCTTAAAATATAAAATACTAAATTCAAATTAGATTAAAATTATCGGTAAAAAAATATCAATTCATATCTGTCTATTCTACTTGGGACTGGATTCAGAAGGCGGGTGTGCGTGCTAACCAATAACATGCATTTTTTTCTTTTTGTTGGTAAAAAAAAAATAAGACTAGGGTGTTCACGATTAGAGAAAAAGTACGTGCTTACAAGCGGTAGCAGTCAAGCTACCAAAGAGTCCTTACAATATTATGAAAGGGCCTCTGGACATCAGATTAATCTTTTCCAAATCTATTATCGTATTTAGTGGAAATGTTCACCTCGATGATAGGATAAATGTGCAGCAAATTCTTCAAATCCCTGTGGTTCAATGTCATGAAATATATCTTGGTCTACCGTTTATAGTGGAAAAACCAAAGAAATAAATTTTTAACACAAGACGTGAGAAAGGTGTGATAAAAAATACAAGAAAAACAGAGTAAATTTTTGTCGAAGAAAGGAAAGGAAGTTCTCATGAAAGCAATAGCACCGGCGGTTCCAACATAGGTCATGTCATGCTTCAAATTGTCAATATCTCTCTGCAATGAATTACCACAACATTATGGCTAAAATTTGATAGAGCCAAAAAAGACGATGAGACAATAATTCGTGTAAAAAGAACATTGAGGTTGAATATTCGTGTTTTATATTCGGTGTTGGTCCAACATTTGTCATTCATATTTAACCAAGTTTTAATCTAGCATTTTCATCAAGATCTATTAATTTATTCCGGCACAAACACGTTATGAGACTTGTGCATTCGTTTAACAAAAAATATCTCTGACTTACATTAATATTTTTTTCTTTGTTTTACGGTATCTCTTAAATTTTCTCTCTTTATATATATTTTTTTCACGTTTGTTATTCCTTTTTTATTTTTCCCTCAAATCAAATAATATTTTATTGTTTATACGTAACAAACTTTTCACCAGATAAATATGATTTTTTATCCGAGTCACGTGTTTGTCACAGGTGACAATTCCATCAGTAAATTAATAAATTTTAATGTAAACAAGGAATAAAGGGTGCGGAACACGCTAAGGGTTTAAGCTGTTCACTTCAGTCGTTCGTTTCCTGCACTATAAAACCTTGTCGGATAGACGGTTTCTTCATATCCTCCTCCTACTTCCACTACTCTGCCTGCCTTCATAAGCCCAAACACACACAGAGACATAGAGAGAAGCACCTGCAATGGGCCGCTCGCTTTTCTCTCACTTCCTCATTCTCTCCAACTCTACCCCTCTCTTCGCCTCTTCCATGTACTCTCTCTCTCTCTCTGTGTGTGTGTGTGTGTGTTTCTTCTATTTACATGGATAACAATTTTCAATGTCAGTCTCCATCACACGACATGTTCGATATAATCTTTGACATTTTCAAGCAGGTCATGTGGATTTCCAAGTAAATTGTTGAAAAGACCTAATCCAATTCGACAACGACGTCTCTCAATTAGCCGCCGCGTCTCCGATTTCAGATGCTATTGCGGTGTCTCGGCTTCTGAACCCGCAGTTTCGGAGGGTTCTTCAAGCTCTGTAAAGTAATCTCTGCATTCAATCTATCACAATTCGGACTCTCTGATTCAATTTTTTTTTATAATCATGATCTTGATAGTACATCCTTTTTCTATCGATGAACGCTTTAGTGATTTGAAACTTCTGTTGTCTTACTCCGGATTTTTCAGTGACATTGTAAAAATAGTTATAAATATAAACTACACTACAAAATATTAGCTTCAGGATCTTTAGTTTTATTTGATAGCAAGAGGGTCGAGAATTAAAGTTAATTGTTATTTATAGTTTGTTGAAAGAATGGTGTTGATTCTTTCTCAATAATTTTTGATTCAATCTACAGGAAGAGGATAGTGTCTGGGGTCCAGCCAACCGGATCTATACACCTTGGAAATTATCTTGGTGCCATAAAAAATTGGATTGATCTCCAGGTTGGGTCTACTTTTTGTTTTTTATCAGACATTGAGTTCTTGATGAATGAAATTCTGCTTATATTTCATAGATGTACGTATGCTATTTGTGTAAACTATTATCCAGTTTATTGGCAATATTGTTTAGGGCGATAGCTGAGGACCATGCTTTGCTGATTTAATCAGTATTCAAGGTTATGAGCCACTATTTTGTATGACTAGGTTTCACTACAGTGGTTTATATGTTGTGCTGGGTGATAGTTACTCACTGCTATCAATAGACACAACATAACAAATGGACGCATAAATTCAAGTTAATTGACTTAGTCAAAGACTTGTCTTTATGGTTATTGATGTGGTCACAACCTTATATGAAGTTCCCTCGCATTAAGAAAATTTTCATTTAGTCTTAACTGTGGTTATCACCTGTTAATTATGTAGCTCAACATAATATATAATGAGAATTTGCCTTAATGACCTGGCCAAGTAGATGTATTAAGCTGGATGAATTGCCATCTAGACTCTGAATCCAGTTGCAGTGTAACATACAGGTTAGTTGACAATCCATTTGAACCCATACACAGACTTTCTTATATCTTACTTAAAATGTAGCGTGAAAATTGCTCGCTCAAATTGCTGGTTGAACCGTTTTGAACAATTTGGTTTCTGCACCTATTCAACCTTAGTCCAGTGACTCCAGTTTTTATGACATGGCATTTTCAATGATGACATTTGGATGTATAGAATTTTTCAAAATTTGGCAGTTTCTTGTAAGGTTTAGCTGTTTTTACAATATGCATTTGTGGGATTGTAAATGAATACAAATTTGCATTAAAATTTTATCTGCTTGCCTTCTAGGATGCTAGCATATTGGTTTTAGGAGGCACCAAATTGTGAGATAGCTGCCTCATGTTTTTTAATTTCAAACTTTTAGTTTTTCCACTCTTTTTTTCATATAGAGGACTCGTCCTCTCATGTACTTTTTTATCTTTATATTTACTCTTAATAATATTCTCTTTTTTCCAATAGAAAATAAAAAAAGGCCAAGTCATAGCATTGGTGTGTTCGACTCCCCCCTCCCCCCACCAAAAAAAGATAGTGAATGGAAATAACAACCCTCATGCACACACAAGCAATAAAAAGTAAAAAATCCCACTCTTTTTTCATTTGTCGCTGGTTCTCTCAAATGCAACTTTAGTAGCTTTGTAAGTTTGTGGGAAATATGTTTTGTTAATGTTCTTGTAGCATAAGGTTTTCATACTCTTGTATGTTATGTTCATTTGACACTATGGTTTGCTCCTTGCAGAATACATATGATACTCTCTTCTTCATCGTGGACCTCCACGCGGTACGCTTCAAATTCTAGTCCCTATTATTTGCATGTAATGCTACTTGACTAGGTTATTGTAGACCTGATGTCTTTGGAAATTACCAATTTGTCGTTATCTTTGGTGTTCATTTGGCTTTCAATGAACTTCCAAGAAACTATATTCATTCTGTTTGTTGATCTTATGTCCGTTGTTAATTTATTCTACAGTATGTTGAAATAATATTATCCTATTTTGTCTTCTCTATATATATCTCTTATTGGATGTAAAGAAAATCAATTGAGCAAACATGATTTTTTTAAACTTCGAATTACGATAGGACATGGATATATCTATGTATTTTGATTTCTGAACCACTTCCGATTTTTTAAACTCACAGATAACTCTACCATATGATACGCAACAACTATCTAGAGCAACAAAAGATACAGCGGCAATTTATTTGGCGTGTGGTGTGGAAACCTCCAAGGTCAGGTGCATTTGTTTTCTCTTTAATATATTGTTTTGAAGTTGAATTCATCCTTTTCATTTTCTCCCCAAAGGTGAATGCATGCCTAACTTCGATTTATGTGAACAGGCTTCCGTCTTTGTGCAGTCTCACGTTCGTGCTCATGTAGAGTTGATGTGGCTGTTGAGTTCTGCCACCCCAATTGGTTGGCTTAACAGAATGATTCAATTTAAAGAGAAATCACTCAAGGCGGTGTGTTCTTTGCTGTATGCAGCATCATCCCCTTTTCTGTATTCTGTTAATTTTTATTTGTCATTTCGTTTTTTAACTTCTAGTTTCTATAGAATTTAATGTCTTTCTACATGCAAATTGAACCAATGTGCAAGGGGGCCAAAACCATCGCTGTATGGGTCTGTTTTGTAATTCTTTAACAATATAACTGATACAGGAATTTGAACTATAAGCTTCTATCTACACTGAAATTTGAGAAAACAATAATGATTCCTTTGCATAAAGATCGCTGAAAAAGAGAAAATAGCTGAAGAAGTAAAAGGAGAAGGCAGCTAAACTACTTTGGGTATTTTTCAAATGTTTTTGTGCAATTTTCAAACTTGTGTGCAGTTTTTTTGTAATACAGAATTGCCATTTGTATTCATTCATGTAGTACATGTATTGAATGGATGGAATGTATTGAATGGAATACATTCCATTGAATTGTGTATTACAAATGGCATTCCATTCAAGTATCATACTATGCATTGAATGGCATTACAAATGAATACAATGCATAGTATGATACATTCCATTCAAGGCATTTGTGCGTGAATGAAACAAAGAGCAAGAATGATAGTATGATACCAATGCATCTCTAGGATTGAATGTCATTAGTCATAAATCTGCTTTAAGCTAGAAGCTTAGCCATAGTCTGAGCTTGATGCTTTCTTCTTCTTCTTCCTGGTAATCATTTGTGTCCCATGACACTCTGTCTCTCTAATCATTTGGACCATTTTTTTTTTTGTGAAATTTTGTATACTAATATAAGTTATTCACGTGTTGTACAACCACCTGTTTTGAGAATTGGTGTACAATATTTAACGGTGACTTGGTACAGTTTTGACGACAGAGAAACCCAATCTCAATTACTTAAGGCTATGAATCCAAACAAAGTTGCCATGGGTGGTTGTGTTGGTTTGAATTTCCACTTGGAACAGTCGTATGAAACTAGCTTGTTTTGTGAGAGGCTAAATTGTGGCACTTCACTTTAAACAAACTTGGACTAATAAGGTGGAACTGAATCAGTTTTATAGGTATGGCTGACACTACTGGGATTTGTGGATGGTGTTTTTGACCTTTCATAACTTACCACTTTTGTACTTTACATAATGCTGCTTTTACTTACTCAAAAAACTTGCACTGTAGGGACCTTAGACCTGCTATCAAAGCTGCTTCTTTCTTCAAAAATATCCATTACTGTCATGATCAAATATCAGACACATCTTCTTATTTGCTTACATGATGCATCCATCTGTGACCAAGGACAATTAAATATATTTGGACCTGTCTACTGGAAAACCCTCTTTCAAAATTTATGGCCTGTACTTGCACCATCAATTCATCAACTGATCGATTGCATCTTTCAGACTGGTTCCATTATCCCTCCTCTTAACTGCCCCTTGATTTGCCTGATTCCCAAGGTCAGTGACCCTGAAACCGTCCATCAGTGTTAGATTTATTGGACTGTGCAATACCAGTAACAAAACTGTTGCGGCGTCGCCATGACTGTTTCACAGAGTAAGGCCCTTTCTGGATTCATTTATTAGTCTTCTTCAAAGAAGATTCATCCCTGGACAAACGAGGGACTGATAAAGCCATTATCATCCAGAAAATTTGTTCACAGTCTCCATATGAAAAAGGGAAAATAGTTCGAATGGCTATCATGATTGACTTCCAAAAGACTTAAGCTATATTATAAATTATAAGGGTCCTTTATAGCAGATTTCATAAAGACTTCAACATTAAATATTTTCTGCTGCTTGGGTTAAGCTTATTATGCCTTGTTTTTCATCTTCACTGGCCATATTGATCGATGGTATCCCAAGTGAATTCTTCACTATTACCAGACATATCAGATAGTGTGTGCTATTTCCCCCTATTGTTTTCACTTGTGCTTTGAATACTGGACCATCAAGATTGAAGAAGCAATTTCCCTATGTTTTCCTTCTCCCTCTTGACCTCTTCCTGTTTGTCAAGGCAAACCATCTACGTGGCACACTATTCTTCAAATTCTTCATTGAGTTTGGGGCCCTATCTGGACAAATTACAAAATTACAGAAGTCCAAATTCTGCCTTTACAAAAAAGCTCCAGAACACCTGCAGGACTTCTTCTGCTTCTTATTTCTTTCCCCCCCTTCTTTATTAAACAAAGAACCGTGCTTGCTTATAGAAGGGGGAAAAAGAACTGCAGAACCTTCTCATATATGGTTGGGACATGGGAGTTGGTTCTTATTTCTTACCATCCGACACCTTTAGAATTCTTTTTAGCTCTCGCTTGCATTGTGGTATTCTCTAACTGCCTGTGCTCAATGTTTTTTTTTTGGATTATACTGAAGTGACTTTAATTTGTCTGGTTTTTGTCTGTAGGGAGACGAAAATGTTGGGGTTGCCCTTCTTACTTATCCTGTTCTGATGGCTTCAGATATTCTTTTGTATCAGGTGTGTTTCTATCCATTTAGCATTACATTCATGTATTTATAAGTACGTCATGTATTTATAAGTATGTCATTGGTCCTCCTTAATGTGTTCTCTGCATTTTATTCTTAGACCTGGGAAAGCCAAGTTCACCTCTTGATCATGATTGCCCGAGTATTTTAGCCAAGTTCAGCCCCTTTTTATGTGCTTACTTCACCTCTTGGTCATGATTGCCTGAGTATTTTTAATTCTCATAAATTGCAGCATTCCTCTGCAGTCTGATTTCGTCCCAGTTGGAGAGGATCAGAAGCAACATCTAGAATTGACCAGAGAGCTGGCTGAGCGTGTTAATTATTTATATGGAGGAAGGAAGTGGAAGAAGCTGGGTGGGTAAGGGCTATATTAGTTTAAATTTTACTAGTATGTATGTCTTCATCATTTTTTATGGTAATTGGCATTAGACAGTTGACTGTTTTTCTTATACTGGTTACAGGCGAGGCGGTGCAATTTTTAAGGTGGATTCTGTTTTTCAATGCCTGATTGACACTTTCATTTCAGCCCATGAAATATTGAACTATCTGGAACAATTCTTACAAGAATGAGCTAACTGATGTAGGTTCCCGAACCCCTTATACCACCAGCTGGAGCCCGGGTGATGTCCCTCACCGATGGCCTTTCCAAGGTTTTCAGTTTTTAAAGTTCTAAATGTTTCTGTTTCTTTCTTTTTAAATGGAAGCATAAATACGTTTTCCAGCATCATAAAACCCTAAATGCAGAGGGAAGTAGATTTAAGGTTTTACAAAGTATCCATGCAGTAAATTTCTATCTCTTATTCATGCTTTGCTTGACCCCATTTTGAAAGTCATCGTTAATTCTTTTTGATAAACAAGAAGTATCACAAAAAGTTTCCTAAGGGAGCATTCCAGTATACAGGAAGAATACACTCGGATAAAATCAAGCAACAGACAAAAGTAACAATGTATACTAGATCCTAAGGTAACTAAGACAAGTATCACCCTACAAACAAGTATCGCCCTACCTCCCAAAGTCTATGAGATGACCTAAAGAAAAATAAAGCCATTCCTAATATGTGTGTTTATAGTGTTGATTACTTTATTGCTGTTGGGGATAAGAAGGAGGCCCCACAGTCTGCATTATTGGGTGTCTGTCTGGTGGCAGTTTGGCACTCCTGCAGATCCCGAAATTCCTTTGCATCATTTGATAAGTTTGAGCTATGTGGAAACTCCCATTACATTATTTCCTAATATATTAGGCTGTTAATTATGAGAGTTGTTGCCAGTAAATATTGGCCAAATGACGAGTACTCTAGGAAGATTGTTTTCTTATTGGTGTGGTTGTGAATCGTGTAACAAATTAATCATAGAGATTACTTTGAAATGATATTATTCTTCTGGTTTGTTGACATGCTAAAATTAAACTCCAAGCCATCAATGATAGAGACAGTTCTTAACTTTCGTTGGATGCAAATTGTTTTCATCATCATGTGCTAAAAAAACTATAAGCTTTGAAAAGAAAAGAGTATCCCATGAAGTAAGAACAAGCAAGTTCTCAAGTTTTGAAAAATTTCTGTCAAAAGCCACATGAATCAACATTTCTCTTCGCATTAACGCAGCCTCTTTGAATCACACCTAAACGTGAATGGGTGAATCCCCCTTTGTGACCAATTCTTTGGATCATCATCACATCATCACCAATACTATGAACAGCTTTTTCATGAGTTTGCGTCAAAGTAACTGTTAAGCCGATGATTGCTGAAGGGAGTGCTATAGTATTGGACTGAGAATGAGAAAGTAAATGGTCCAGGAGCAATTCATCTATACCTGAGACTGTTTCGTTTAGTCCCTCTCGCTTGCTATATAAATGTTGCCATGACTGATAAGAGGTCAGATTTTAGTATTATGTTTTGTTCCCACCTGTCCTTTGAAAAGAAATGGTCAAACAAGCTACACATGTATATCAACATATCTTTGCTGAAGCACCACAACCAACTGTTCAATATGCCATGGGTAATGGAGAGAGAATTTGGTTTTGGGAGGATGCTTGGGGGTGTGTTTTGTCATTTAAATCCATGTTTCCTCGTTTATTTAGGTTGTCTAGAAATCATCACTCCTCTATTTCAAATATGGTATCATCATCTTATATGACAATTAGCTAGAGTTTTGATTTCTTTAGAAACCTTGATGAGAGAGAGATCATCGATTTGTCTTCTCTTTTGGGTATTCTTGATAACGTTGTGTTGAATCTTTTGTCTTTAAACCGAAGAAAGTGGGTCATTTCCTCTTCGGGAGAGTTTTCTTGTAGATCTCTTTTTGAGACCTTGATTGATAAACCTTGCTTCCCAATTTTCAAACCTTCATTAATAATTTGGAAATCTAAGGCTCCTTTAAAGGTACAAATTTTTGTTTGGTTGTTTGCACATAAGAGAGTCAATACTAACAATATGCTACAAAAGAGAAGACCTTTATATTGTCTATTATCACAATGGTGTTCTATGTGTAAAAGTGGAGAAGAAAGTATGGATCGTCTTTTTTTGCGTTGTTCCTATGTCCATAAATTGTGGAGAAAGTTATTGAGACAGTTTGGCATTTGACATTTTTTGGGTGACTCCGAAAGATTGTAATTCAATAATTGAGATTCATTTTGATGACTTCGGTCAAAACAATAAAACTAAGATTTTATGGACAAGTGTAATTTTAGATTTATTTTGGGTGGTGTGATTGAAAAGAAATGGTGATGTAGATCGTATTAGGGAAGAATTAGGGATGAGAAGCGAAGAAGAAAGGGATGAGAAAAGAAGAAGAAGGGGATGAGAATAGAGAGAGAATTTTAGAAAGAAGATTCAATATCAATAATCAATAATCAATAATCAAAGTCCTTCAACAAATATGTATCCCCTATATATATAAGGAATTCACAAATCCTATATATATAAGGAGATCACAAACCCTAAAATAAATAAATAATTAAAATGACAACTAAACCTTTAAAAGTTAAAAGAAATTACTTAAAAGGTAAATATTAAAAGTATCTAAATAACTATCATAATTAATCTATAATATCTATCCAATTCCTACACAATCCCCATCATTCTTCTCCGGTTGAAAAAAACTCTCCTTTGGAGAGTCTTCAAAATAGAAGTATTCCGAGAGAGCAGGATGAAGATGACATAATACTTCATCTAGAATGAAAGAACCATCGACTTCTTTCCATTGACCAGGATAAATGTAAGAATCTCCATCTGTATGAACACCTGTAAATAAAATAGGAGGCTCTGGAGTACCTCGATTAAGCAGCATGTTCTCCCAATAAAAATCTGGACTAATACTAACATTCAATGAAAAATTAAACAAATAAGCATTAGATTCAAATTCAAGAATAACAAAATAATTCCCATTAGATTTGAACAATAGGCATTCAATGGGACAAGACATTAGTGACAAAGGAGTAACTATAACACTTCGGTGCTGAAAATAAGAAAGTACAGACTCAATTAAATACTTGACAGTAGGCAAAGAATCAAAGTTAACACTCTCAAGTGAGGCAGAATTCAGAACAATGTCAACAATCTCAGATTGGGAAGAATCTGTAACAAAGTCATGATGACTTGGACAAGTAGACACAGAATAATCACTATTAGATTCTGTAATAAATGACTCAATTGGTTTAATATCTTGCATATGTGTAGACTCAACAGACTTTTCCATAATTTTCAAGATCAATGATGGTTCAAGAATTGACACAAACAAAGATTCACACACACTTTCTTTCGAAATGGACTCTTGTGGGTGCAAAGGAGGAAGACTCTGATATGAAAAAACTAAATGAGGGAGTTGGAAGTCCATATGAGTAATATTTTTCTCTTTATCTGACACTAAAATATTTAAATCTTTTGCCACATTCGAATTAGGAAAGCATGCAGAAACAACATGGACATCGTTTAAGTAATCATGATACTCATATGTGATGGAATTAAAATTGGAAGATGTCCTATCAGCAGCTTGTGATTGAGAACTTATCAAGGTATAGTTGGATTTTTTATGAAATCTCTCAACCTTTAGAGCATATTGATAGGCTGCAACTAACGTATTAAAAGTGTATTGTTTAACCTCCCTACTAATTTTTTGTCTAAACCCAAAAATAAACTGATCAATTGTCCAAGGTTCTTCAACAATATCACACAAGTACATGAGATAATCAAACTGGGCAAAGTAATCAGAGACACTAGAAGAATGTTGTCTAAAATTGAGTCATTGGTCATAAACTTGATCCATATAGGAAGTAGATAAATCCTTCTCTTTCAATTTATATCTCATTTCAACCCAAGTGATAGGTGATTCTCCTAAGGGGTCTAGGCTTCTTTGGATTGTTTGCCAATACTTCTTGGTGGAACCCTCCAACATCAATTTAGCAAAACGAACGCAATGGGAATTCGACATGCCATGCTAATCAAAATATTTTTCTAAATTAGCTAACCAATCCAAGAATTGATTGGGATCCGGAGTACCACAAAATGTAGAAGGATCTTTGATTCGTTTGGTCATATGGGTTGACTCCATGTAAACATTCTTTGACTTCCTATGATGATGACATTGAGGAGAGATTCTTAAAACATGCGTATTAGAGAAACTCATGAGTGACTCTTGGAACAAGGGAATGACGCCAAAACAAGTTCAAGAATGTAATAGACAAATAATTTGGATCCTTTGCAAATTTTTTTAAATTTTTCAATGAATAAAAATATTAGTTTCAAATTTTTATAGGAGTATGCATACCATAATCAATAAAAAATTATGAAATTTTTTGGGAATGATTCTGCAATTTTATGGATCTGTTGGGAATATTTTTGTAATTTTGGAACTTCTGGGGGGAAGATTTTGTAATTTCTAAAACTTTTAGTGGTGATTCTATAATTTTTGAAATTTTCTGGTAGTGGTTCTACAACTTCTAGAATTTTTTGGGGTGTTTCTGTAATTTTTGAAGATCTTTTGGGATGTGTCTGCAATTTTTGGGACTTATGGAGATGTTTCTATAATTTGCTGAATCTGCTGGGCACTTTGGTTCAAAACTTAACCCACTAGGCTACTGTTACAGCGACGAAATATGATAAAAAATTTTTGTTTCCTCCTGTTTTTATCTTTTACTGATGAACAACGTTTTTGGATGGACAATATTTTTTTTGATGAACAGTACACGGATGAATAGTAACCTTGTTTTTTTTTTAATTTTTTTTTTTTTGAATTGAAGTTGGGCTCTGATACCAAATTGATGTAGATCGTAATAGGGAAGAATTAGAGATGAGAAGAGAAGAAGAAAGGGATGAGAAAAGAAGAAGAAGGGATGAAAATAGAGAGAGAATTTTAGAAAGAAGATTTAATATCAATAATCAATAATCAAAGTCCCTTAACAAATATGTATCCCCTACATATAGAAGGAATTCACAAATCCTATATATATAAGGAATCACAAACCCTAAAATAAATAAATAATCAAAATGACAAGTAAACCCTTAAAAGTTAAAAGAAATTACTTAAAAGCTAAATATTAAAAGTATCTAAATAACTATCATAATTAATCTATAATATCTATCCAATTCCTACACGATCCTCATCAAATGGACAAATTTTTGAAGAGCGAGAAACTACTTGGGAAGATTTATGGGATAAAATCACTTACATGGCTTCTCTTTGGGTTATTGCGATGAAAGATTTTGAAGGAACACCTTGCTTTTTTATCAAGGATCATTGGCCTCAAGTGTGTGTCGATAGTTGATGCAACATTTATAGATTTGTTTTTAATCTTTTTCTTTTATTTTATGTATCTTTTTTGTCTGCAAGTTTTATCAAGAGGACACCTTGTCCTCTTATGTACTCTTTAATGATTTTTTCCAGTATTAATAAAATTTCATGTTTCCTATCAAAAAAAAAAAAGAAGAAATTTATTTGTAATCTGTTCTGTGTCATTTCAATTTTCCTCACTGTTGCAACGCAGGATTCATAAATTATTAGTTGCATCTACTCTATCCACATTGTTGCATTGACCCCTCTAAAATAAGGAAAATTTTTTTCTTGCTGTGATTGCTTAAAAATCAAATAGCAACACTAACTCTCTACCTGTGTTTGAGCTTTCAATTTGGGCCTATGTCGGACTCTCTATAAACAGGGGTGTCTCAATAATTGATGTGGCAGGTTTTTTTTAATGTCAACTGATGCACTTATTTTTCTTGTAGATGTCCAAGTCCGCACCTTCTGATCAATCTCGAATCAATTTACTTGATTCAAAGGATGTGAGTGGACTCATTTACTTCCTTAATTTGCCTAAGTTGGTTAAATATTCGCTCTGTCTTCATAATTGTGCGAAGCATTGGAAAACTTTTAGTGGAATGTAAAAGTTTGAATCCTCTTGGATTCTGTTGTATGCATGGATTACTTACCGGCGTAGAGTGATAAAGGGACAACAATATGCTCATTTTTTTTGGTTAGGCCAATGATAGAAATCTCAGTTTAATTGGAAAACAAGGATCTTAATTGACTTATTGCTTTAACTTTCATATTTAAAGTTAGATTATGAGGCCATTAGGGTTAGGGAACGAGAAGAAAAGAGAAGATTATGAGAAGAGAGGAGTGTGTTAGGTTACACAGCCACACTCAACTTTTATATATATTCACAAAGTACTAAACTACCCTTAGTCTGGAAATAACATATAACATAACATTTATCTTTTTTTTTTTTTGATTGGAAACAAAAGAATCTATTAATTGTTTTTGAAATGAAACATAACCTCTTGTGTTAAAAAAATTCAGAAATAAATCAAAGCAGTTCGATAAGAAATCTAATCAATAAAACAGTACATCACAAGAACTTAATATAAGGTGGACAAGATTTCCAACCCCATGAAAAAACAACAAAAAGCAATACATAAGTTAGAAGTTAGAACTATGCCAAAATGAAAAAGAGCATGACTCCTTTAAGTTCCTTAGCATTCAATGACCAGAAGGATTTCAAACAAATAGTTTTGGTCCTATAAACCTTCCATCCACTCACATCAAACCTCAGCTGGTTACTTTATACAAGTGGTTTTATCAACTGCGTATGTTCTGGAATGCCCATGTAATTAGTTCCCTAACTTTTGGAATAAAATCCGAGGCAACTCCCCCTTCTGAGCGTCCTGTTGTGACGATATCATTACTGAATACTTAGTTAAAAGGAGTTAGCTAACTTATCCGCGCTGATAAGTGGGATGCAAAAGCACCAAATGGATTCTACTGAGTAGAGAGACTAGACACAGAGAAGATTTTATCTCCAATAGGTTAATGGGGGAGTGAGGTTGCACACGATTTGAACTGAGTCACTTCCTGGTGCAGAGGTTGTAGAGGCCTTGGAGGCAATAGAACCATACACATGCTAAGAAGTTGAGGCGGAGGTCATGGTAAGTGGGGATAGCCTATGATCTGGTTCTTGTGTGTATTGTGTCTGTTAATTACGCTATAAATCCGTTTTCATTTTTTGTTTACATTTTCATTCTATGGTTCAGTACTTCAGTTAAATAATTTATAGTATAGTACTTTTGGGGTTATGAATTTGATAGATCTGAGTTTGCCATAACTCAAGTGATCTAAATTTGATGAGTCTTCAATCTGTTTTCTGTCTATTGTGTACCATAATTTTCTCTTCTTAATTGATCTGAATGCGCTTTCTGGCTCTGTAGGTAATAGCAAACAAGATAAAGCGATGCAAGACTGATTCATTTCCAGGGTTAGTAGTTCTCACTGTTCTGTTTGTGACATTGCAAAGTGTTGCTTGTTTGATGTTACTATGCTGTGAAGTTCTACCATTGAGTAAATTATCATTGTTGTGCGTGTTCATTCTTTCCTTAGCAATAAATTTCTCCCCACAAGATATGATAGGCTTTTCTCAGTCTTTTCCCTCTAATGGTAAATCATGCAGCCTCGAATTTGACAATCCTGACAGACCTGAATGCAGCAACCTTCTTTCAGTATATCAGCTCATTACAAGGAAGACAAAAGAGGTAATCTGGTGCAAAATTTTTAGATCATTGATAGCAACCGTGCTTTAGCTCTTTAGCAACAGATGCATGTGTTGTAAGCATTTGAATTTATCTAATTTTTAATTGTTGGAATCTTACGACGGTGGTAATGTAGTGTTACAAGAAATAAAAAGCCAATTGTCGAAGAGTTCATTAATTTTTTAGTTGTTCCCAAGGGACTATTGTTTGCTGCAGTAGTGAATCTGGGGCTTACAAGATTTACAATTTGGTTTAACTGATGGGAGGCACCTTCTCCCTCTCCCCTCAGTGAGGCTTGGAATCAGATGTTGTGTTAGTTTTCATTAACCATGCCAGAAAGTTAACATTTTGAGGTGAAGTGAAGGTTTCTTCAAGGGGGAGTGTGGGTGCCTGTCCAATGTGGAAATTAACTGACACATCTGTTTACATTGAATCAGTTTGCTCTAGTTCTTTTCTTTTTTCTGTTTCTTTCTTCTTCCCTTCTGTTTCATTCTTTCAAAATGTGTTAGGAGCCTCCTATGTAGACCTTTAATGCGCAGCAAGACCTGAAAATGGTTATCATCCAATGTTGTCAATGTTAATTGAAATGCTGGTGGTGGTATATTGGGTGCAAACCTTACCTTTGATATTCTTTGCAAACAATAGCTGCCTTCAGATTCTAACCCACAACTTGCTGTTGTTTGCTTGAGCATGTTACCTATGCACTAAGCAACAAGAGCTGCAGTACATTTTATTTTAGTTTTATATTTTTCATTTTTCACTCTCTCTGTGATAAAAGTTCTAATATATAGCCTGAAGTTATCTCCATGTATAATGTGAAAGGACAGACAAGATCATCACCAAAGAGCCTATTTCAGAAGCTGGAGTTTCTGAGTTAGAGCTTTTTCCTATGACCTAGTCTGGATGACAGAAATAAGAGACCGTGAATGAAATTCCTTTAGTAGGGATAACATTTCTCGAAATACAATTGTAGCTGTCAGTTCATTCATGCATTTGTTACTGTAGGAATTTTTTTTCAGGAAACAATCTTTTATGGTATTTCCAATGTCGGGAATTGGAAATTACGACCCCAGGTGGGAATGAAATGCCCACTTTCTATGGGATTCTCATTACTGAAGGAATGAAAATTCCCAGTAGTACTTACCAGTATAAGTTCCCAGTAGTAGTGCGTATCAAGCATAGGAATGAGATGGAATAGCGATGAGATGCCCATTAGAACTCGAGTTTTGCCATCCAAACTGGGCCTTTGTCCATTTCTAGGAATTTATATCAACTCACTTCATAATTTCAGGATAAATAAGGAGCATTCTTCAATTCAGAACTCAATTTAAGAGCCATTTTTGACCCCGGCATTTCAAAAAAATTTGGTATAATTGAGGATGAGGTTTTCATTCTTGCGTTCTCCACTGTACCAAATGTATATGAGGTCAGTGAATTGGATGTGTTGGAAAAGATTCGTGGTGTGCTCTAAGGCAGAGATAATGCAATGTGTACATGTGTACGTATATTCACACAGCCCATATATGCGCACACATGAATGCTAACAAGATGGCAAATATTCAAGTGGTATGTGGTAGTATTTCAATCAAGGAAAAACATGAAAAGCTTGCAGCGTCTTTGTAGCAATAAAATAAGTGAAATCTTGGAGAGCAGATCAGTCGTCAGAACTGAAGGAGAATTAGTGAGCTTGCTATCATGCATTCAACCACACAAGATGGCAGATTTAGTGGGTTTCTAACGTCTTTACATTTATGCTTACTGCAAATAAAGAATATCCCAAAGTTTGGTTATATCTACAGAATATACCTGACTCTCGGCTGCAACATATTGCACGAATCAAGCTACTGTCTGAAGTACCCGATACTGTACGCAACGACTCTAATCAACTTGAAAATCTTAGTGAAATGAAATAGCAGCTATTATGTTCTTTTATTTTTTATTCTTCTTGGTTTTTGCAAAATGATACATTCCAGGCCATTCAGGCTGAAAAAAGTGGGATGGATAACACTATCAGCTGAACCAGAATTTAAGCGATATACACCCAATTGAAAATGCATAATTTTGTCAAAATGATAGTTATAGTTGTTTTGTTTGGATGTGGATTGATGAGAACTTGATCATTCATCTGTTAGTTATAAGCATGTATGTTTGCTAAACTTCAAAGTTGAAAGTTTCTTTTGAACAATTTTTGTTGCAGGAAGTTGCACAAGAATGCCAAGATATGAATTGGGGAGTGTTCAAACCCCTTCTTACTGATGCTTTAATTGATCATCTACATCCAATCCAGGTTTCTACTTCTATACATGACACCCCCTGCAATGGTTTTATTGTGCAGGGATATTTTGTTGTACTACCTGTGCTTTTTTCCTCTCTCGAAAGGTTGAGTTGTGCCACTTTACCTGCTTACACCGACCCTCTCCAGGCCCCACAGCGGCGGGAGCCTTATGCACTGGGCTGTTCTCTTTTTATTGATGTGTCGTGATGTCTGGCAATTTCATTGTTATTGGAAGTAGTGAGTTTCCCTAGGCCCAAGTTGCCTTTTATCAGATGGAGAAAAGATTAAATGGACTAAAGCTTAGGGAGCCTGAGAACGATTGAAGTGAATTTCTATATTGGTAAAAGCTAAAGAGAGAATCAAATAACTTGATTTTAAATTAGTTCAGTTTGCTATGTCCTTAAACTTCACATGTTTATCAGCTTGTCTGGTCATCCATCCATCTTTGCCTGATGTTGCTGCTATAATTTACATATCGACATCATTAATTGGGTTTTCTGCTTTTTCAGGTTCGATATGAAGAAATCATATCTGATACAGCTTATTTGGATAAAGTTTTGGCAGAGGGTGCCAGAAAAGCTGCAGATATAGCGGATGTTACGCTCAATAATGTCTACCAGGCAATGGGATTCTTGCAGAGATGAGCTCAATCGACCGATGAGCATATTCTTGATCAGGAAAGAAAAGAAGCTTATCAGAAAGGTTCACCTTTTGTGATGCGGTTACATTATTGATCTATCTATCCCTTTCCAGATAGGTGTTTGCGAGGGACCTTTGTGGCAATTGTTATGGTGATTAAAAATTCATTCTATTTTTTTCAATCTAACTAACAATAATCAAGTTTTCCTTTTCATGTTTGTTGGATTCAACATAATTCTATTTGGCTTGGAACTTATTAGAATTTGACATCCATTCTATGTTCCTCAAGATCCCGTGGATCAGCTCCATATGCGAGTTTCTCTACCAGATGATTGGCTGGGTGAGTCCCCGATTTGTTTCAGTACAATCGAACTCTATTTTATG